AAACCACAATGAGATACCATCTCACACCAGTTAGAATGGCGATCATTCAAAAGTCAGGAAACAACAGGTGCTGGAGAGGATGTGGAGAAATAGGAACACTTTTACACTGTTGGTGGGATTGTAAACTAGTTCAACCATTATGGAAAACAGTATGGCGATTCCTCAAGGATCTAGAACTAGATGTACCATATGACCCAGCCATCCCATTACTGGGTATATACCCAAAGGATTATAAATTATGCTGCTATAAGGACACATGCACACGTATGTTTATTGCAGCACTATTCACAATAGCAAAGACTTGGAATCAACCCAAATGTCCATCAGTGACAGATTGGATTAAGAAAATGTGGCACATATACACCATGGAATACTATGCAGCCATAAAAAAGGATGAGTTTGTGTCCTTTGTAGGGACATGGATGCAGCTGGAAACCATCATTCTTAGCAAACTATCACAAGAACAGAAAACCAAACACCGCATGTTCTCACTCGTAGGTGGGAACTGAACAATGAGATCACTTGGACTCGGGAAGGGGAACATCACACACCGGGGCCTATCATGGGGAGGGGGGAGGGGGGAGGGATTGCATTGGGAGTTATACCTGATGTAAATGACGAGTTGATGGGTGCAGCACACCAACATGGCACAAGTATACATATGTAGCAAACCTGCACGTTGTGCACATGTACCCTACAACTTGAAGTTTAATAATAATAAATAAAAAAAAAAAAAAAAAAAAAAAAAAAAAGGAGACAGCTTGAATGACATGGAGCTAGCATGAGGACAAAACTTTGTTGACTGCTTATGGTGGGAAGTATTTATCAAGATATCTTTTAATTATTCTGACCATTTGCTAGATGTGCAAATTGAGACTAGAGATATTTTTATAGTTAGATATTACAAGCATATTTAACAAAATATCATAAAACTTAAAACCTTTGCTGAAAAGTGAAAAATGATATTCACCACAATCAATGAATTTCCATTAAACAAAGTATAAGGGTTAACTCATTTATAAAAATATGTAATTCATAGATTCAAAAGCTTCATATTATTTATACTGCATCCACATATACAACAAATTTTTATATGACAGAACATTTGAGTAACCTAAAAGGTCAATGAAAAAATACTGGGATACATTTACTCATTTTCATGACTATTTTCCAGTGAACCAGACATGTAAGTACATTATTCACTATAAAGAAAATAGCATTATTGACTTAGAATTATAATTGTTACATATTTTATTGTGACAGAATAAAATATTGGATTACATTCTTATAATTACTTTAAAACAGTCAATAAAAACAATCTAATATGGAAGTCAGAAATAAACTAGAATGGGAAGAAAATAAAAAAAACTTTTATAATAGGTTAATTGATAAAATTACATCTTGTTTATACATACAGATGGAAATGTGATAATCTCTTTTTAGGAAATAATATATGAAATATAATAAAAGTTAAGATAGATTGGTTTCCAAATATTCATTTAGAGACATTTAAAACTATTATACTATGGGGTGGGAGAAGCGCAAAAAGCACTATTAAACCAAATTTAAAGCAAAATTCCTTAGTACTAAGAATATCTCCTACATTAGAGACTTAGGGTATTCAAAAACGATTTAGAACATGCTGGGGAAAAACTAAGAGATATCTGGAAAAGAAAAGAAATGAAATGAGACAGAGTTCAAGAGAGGTGCCATCTTCTGTGAATAAGCAAAGTCCATTAGAGCTGAAGAACAGCTAGCAAAGAACAGGTCATGGATGTCAACACATAATAGTTTACTTCAAAGAGCACAGGCAGGATGAGGCTGAAAAGGGTTATGAATATCATCTATATCACTAGGGGCTTGAGAATCAAAAGGGTCAGCTAGACCTGCCCCTCATTTCAATCACAAAACAAGGTCTACATTAGTTATTTATAAGTTGAATTCACAGAGCACCTTAAGTCAGTGAACCAAAATACAAAGGCACTTTGCATGAGCTATAACACCCAAAACTATTGAGCGAAAAGAAAATATGGCAATTGACTGATCTCTTCTAGAGTAGAAGTTGCTATTTGAAATGAAAGGCAAGCTCTTTTAGCAGGACCATTTCCCTAGGACACCAATGTGCAGTTTTACAGGTTCATTAAACAAGCCAATCTATAAATTGGGTTAAGAAAATCTCTAAAACACAATCAAAATATATAATGATGTAGGAGTTCTATAGTAAAAATACAGGCCAAGTAAAGTTCACTACATTCACTGCTACTTTAATTGCAATGTAATTTAATACTATGTTTATAGGGAAGAAAAATGTTTATCAATATTTCTGTTGCTTCCCCCAGCCAAGGATTACCAAACCTCCAATGGTGGCATGGCCTGATCTTATGCTGAGAAAGAGCCATACTTGCTCACTGTATTTATGATATGCTTTTAGTATGGGGCATACATCTTAGTAATCTACGTAGTATATTACTAAACAACTTTCCTTTGGTATAAATTCCTATGGTGAGTGGCCGGTTCTCTGAATATTTTGGTGAACTACTTCAAAGGAAAATGACTAGTTTTCTTTACTCTCTCTTTTGGTTTTTTGAGACAGAGTGTCACTCTGTCACCCAGGCTGGAGTCCAGCGGTGTGATCTCACGACAACCTCTGCCTCCTGGGCTCAAGCAATTCTCCCACCTCAGCCTCCCAAGTAGTTGGGACTACTGCATGCCATTGCGCCCGGCTAAAGTTTTTTGTATTTTTTGTAGAGATAGCATTTTGTCGTATTGCCCAGGCTGCTCTCGAACTCTTGGACTGAAGTGATCTGCTCAACTTGGGCTCCTAAAGTACTGGGATTATAGGCATAAGCCACCAAGCCTGGCTGGATGACTTGCACCAAGGAATCAAATAACGTTTTACCAATTCTTTGGTAAAACTTTGATGGGAAGTTGGGCAGCATCAGGACTTAAATATTTTAATGTGATAGGTCATTCACAAAACAAAATTGGGAATGGGTGAGGCAGGAGAATAGGGTCTGGAGGCAGGGAACCTAAGGCTGTTTCATGCTGACTTCCTAGAACTAAACAAAAAGGAAAACCCCACCTTTCCATGCCCAAGTAACAAAAGGACCAGAGGCTACTCCCTTTGCACCCCTCCTCATCCCACCACCTTTTTCTGAATGGCTGATGAAAAATTGAAAGTACCTCTGATTGGTCCCCTTCCACAACCAATCAGGCTGCTCGTGGGCAAAGTCTTCATTTGCATAGGGTATACATTTGTAACTTCAGCCTCTGATTGGTCCCCTTACACAAACAATCAGACTGACCGTAGTCCACTACTTAATATACGTAGGGTGTACTCCAAGCAAACGATGGGGAAACCTGTAGAGGGTATGTA